GGGACCCCCATAACCACTGTTCTCCCCTTCTGTGCCAGCCCCATTTCCCCTGTGATTCTCATAATCCTCTAATTCCCTCCTCTTATCCCTCAGGGTCCCCTCTGACACCCACTAATCCCTTACTGCTAACTCCCTGTGATTGTCCCCCCTCCCTGTGACCCCTATCCTGACCACGCATGGGTGTCCCCAGTCCCACCACGATGTAGATCCAGCAGAAATCATTCACCTTTGGGGAGGAGGCGACACCTGCTCCCTCCCCTGCTGTCCCCTCCCTGGCTGCCCATGCCCATCCTGGGAAAAGAGGGGCTGAACCCTAACCAGCAAGACCCCCCAAGCCTCTCAGTGCTCACTTGCCCACACCAGCACCATGTGAGCAGTGGGTTCAAGAAGGGGCAGAGACCCAGCAGGGAGCACCCAGCAGCCCCAGAAAAGTGGGGAGGCCACCATGGAGGCCAGAGAGGACCCCACAGCATCCCCTGCCCCCTCACCCTCAGCTCAAGGATGGACACTGGGGTCGTTGGTCATATAAGAGACATTTACTGCTGGAGGCACTTCCTGTGCTGGTGGCAGCTGCCAGCACCCTTCTGTGAGATCCCTGTGCTGGATGCTGACCTCTTGTCCTGTGCCTGTGTTAGTTTGACAGACGCAGAAACTCCTCATCCTCTGCAAGTGGAGAGACACAGCAGGTGAAGGACAGACCCTGAGACCCTTCTTGCCCCACAGTCAGTGCTGGATGCTGCTTCCCACTCTGTCCCTGCCAGCAGTGAGGGGTGGCAGTGCTCAGACCCTCCATCCACACCTGTGCTGTCCTGGGGTGACCCTTTGTGTCCCACTGCTCACCATGCACTTTATGTTGCTGACAGGGTAATAAAAGATGGGCTTTGCCCTAAGACATGTTACTCAGGCCCCATGTCCCATCCGTGGGGAAACAACAGTCCCCAGCTCTGCTGCTCTGGGAGCAGGCTCACCCAGGGCTGGCTGTGGTGGGAGACCCCTCAGTGCCCTCTCTGCAGGGAGATTTCCCCTGCCACACTCCTGACAAACTGCTTGTCCCTTCACCAGAGGACTGAGTGTTGCCTGTTGTGTCTCCCCAGGAGGTTCAGCATGGAAACCCCTGTGATGGATAGATCTGGGGGGTCTGGCAGGTGTCACACAAGGGAATACCCCCAGCTGGGACCCTGGTTTGGTCCTTGCTTGGTGTCAGGGTCTCTGCAGCCCCCAAATCCTTCACTCTCACCAGCACCCCCTGCCCAAGGGCTGTCACCTCCATTGCTCCCCACTGCACCCTGACCTGCTTGGGGATGTTCCCCCTATTATCAAATCCATTTTGAAGTTCAGTCATGTCCTCACACACCTGCAGCCTGTTCAGCCCTTGTGCCATACTTGTCTGTATCTCAATGAACATAACTACCAACCCAGGACAGACCCATCCTAGGCACAGCGCAAAGCCATCCCATGCCCATTGTGGACCCATGACAAACACAGCCCAGACCAAGGACACAACTATCCTGGATCCATCCAGACCCAGACACAGCATAAAACCATCCCAGACCCAGACCCATCCTGGACCCACAATGAACCCATCCCAGGCTTATCCCAGACCCATTGCAGACCCATCCTGAACCCATCCAGACCCACCTCACATTTATCCTGGACCCCGAACACATGATCCTGAACCCATCCAGGCCCATCCTAAACCCATCCTGACCCATTCCAGCCTTATCCTGGACCCAGCACACACCCACCCTGAACTCATCCTGACCCGGTACAGCCCCATCCCAGAGCCAGGACAAGAGGTGATGCAGCTGCTGCCCTGGCACAGTGCTGGCCAGGATGGGCACAGGGGGTACCTGCCAGTGGAGGAGCCCCACAATACTCCTTGCACTCCTTCTCCGAGTAGAACTGGTTCCCGTTGCCCTTGCAGCCTCCATAGCTGAAGGTGATGCACTTGCCCTGAGCAGCGTCAAAGGCCCAACGTGTCACCGGTACCTGGCACGGCCCTGGCACGATGGGCAGCCTGCAGGCAGCTGTGGGGACAAGGCTGTGTGAGGATGGGGTCAGGGACCCCCAGGGATGCCGACACGTGGCATTCCAGGCCATGCTCAGATCCCCTGTGACACCTCGGCAGAGGCAGCTCCCGGCCCCGGGGGCTCACCCTCGGTCCGGCACGCCTGCAGGCACTCCTTCTCAGAGTAGAAGTTGTTGCCGTTGCCCAGACAGCCCCCGTAGAGGAAGGTTTCACAGGCCATGGAGGAGGAGTTGTAGAAGAAGCGGGAGAGCATCCCACTGCAGGGCCCCGGGTCCTGGCTCAGCCGGCACGAGTCTGCGGGGAGCAGCACCGGGGCTGGCAGGGGCGAACGGGGCAGGGCAGGGCATCCAGGGAAAGTCCCTCCCCCGGCACCTACCTTCCTTATTGCCGAGGTAGGTGGGCAGGGGCCCCGCGGCAGAGCCTTCCTCGGGGGGCAGGACTGCTCTCCGTGCCCTCTGCTCCGGGAAGGAAGCACAGAGATGTCATCAGCCCCTGCCCGTGGGACCTGCTGCCCACCTCACTGTCCCCGACCCACACTGCCCCCAGGGTGGGCTATGGCATGAGCACCCCAGGCTTCAGCCCTCCCCAGTGCTCCCAGCATGTCTGCAGTCACTGATCTTGGGTCTGCAGGCTGTGATTCCTCCACACCCCATGGTCTTCCCAGCCCTGTGCTCATCATCCTGGGTGGGAACCAGGCTCATGTGTTGTGGATGAAGGTACCCAAAGTGTCTCAGTCATGACACATGCTGGGGATGTGTCTCCATGATGTTACTTGCCACAGAATCCCATGAGCTGGAAGGACCCACCAGGATCATCAGTCCAACTCCTGCCCTGCACAGGACACCTCAACAATCCACCCTGAGAGCATTGGCCAAACACTCCTGGAGCTCTGTCAGCCTTGGGTCCATGACCACTGCTCTGGAGAGCTGTTCCAGTGCCCATACACCCTCTGAGGGAAAAACATTTTTCTAATATCAAACCTAACCCTTCCCTGGCATGACTTCAGGCCATGAATGAGTTGTTTCTCCTATGAAAGTCCCAGCATCTCTTGAAAATCTTTCTAAACTCAGCCCTGTGAGACTGGGTGGTGCTGAGTGATGGCAGTTGAAGCACCAGTGGGGTGCTGAACTGCCTCCCCATCCCTGGAGATGGAGTCTACAGTCTGGCTGGACACGCACAAGCAGGCAAGGAACAAGGAGACACCAGCAACCTTCATCCCATGAGAAAAGTCAGAACAGGAAAAGGCTGCTGCTTTCTGCTTGGAAATGAGCCCTGGTGTCCACCTGGCCCAGGATCCTCACCCTGCAGCCTGTTCCTGCCTGTGCCTCTATCCTTGCAGGCAAAGCCCATCAGCAGAGATGGAAGAGCATCTCCCAGGTTGGTCAGTGGAGCCACTGCCCAAACAACATATCCTGCCCACAGAACCTGCTCCCTGGGTCTCCAGTGGGTTTGGCTTCAGAGGGATGCCCCCAGTCTGGAACCACTTGAAGAGATCAGCTGGCCCACTCACCTGAGGAGCAGTTCCAGTCTCCTGAGGAACACATTCACCTGGCCCAGATGCAGGAGAGAAGATCAGCAGCATGTGAGGAGAGGTGTCCTGGCAAACTCATCTCACTGCGTACTGCATCATGCACAGGCAGGTCCCCAGAGAAGGAAACCTCCTGGTTTCACCCCAGCTTTCTTCCCCTCTTTCTTCTTTCCACCTCCCACGCAGAGAGGCATCCCTCTAAAATCCCCACACCCACTTGCATCCCCCTAAAATCCCCACACTCCCCTGCATTGTGCCAGCACTTTCTGAATCCAAGGCTGAGCAAGGAGCTGGTGGAATCCTCACTAATTATGGCCTTATCTCCTTCCCATTCCACGCTACCAAAGCCCTTGCCTCTCCTCCCTCCTTCCCTCCCTCCCTCC